AGAGTAGGACATTGAGCCTCGGGGATATGACATTGCCTGATCGTTAAGTTCCAAAATCAGACCTTGGAGCCAGGCACGTGGTACCCGCCTGTAATCCCAGCAACTTGGGAGGCTGGGGCAGGAGGATCACAAATTTGAGGCCAGCCTCAGCAACATAGTGAGAGGCCCTGTCTCAAAATAGAAAATAAAAAGGGCTGGGGATGCAGCTCAGTGGTAAGTGCCCTGGGTTCAGTCCCCAGATTTGTCAAATCTGTCTTTGGTTACATTCCAGCCGTGCCACCCCCGACACTCCGTGTCACCTCCCTGTGCTGCAGTTTTCCTGATGGTTAAGTGGAGACAATAACGGTGCAGTTGTCCCTTGGTTTCCCAGGGGATTGGTCCCAGGATCCCCCACAGACACCCAAATCTTCAGTCCCACATAGAAAATGGCCCAGTGTTTGACCAAACCTGTGCGCACGGGTGACTCGTGACACGTGCTGCAGCCGAGTGCTGTAGTGTTTGGGGATAATGACAAGGAAAGGCTTGCCCGTGTTTGGGACAAAGACCTTTCCTGGGTAAGGTCTTTACCTGGACGCACTGCGTGTGCCTGTGGAGGGCTCCCCACCCCCTCGGGAGCTTCAGCGAGACATCAGGGCTGGGCGCTTAGGAAGCTCGGCACCTGGCACACAGTAGGCGGCTTGTTCTGCCACCAGCAGACACTTAGGGGCGCCTGCCACGTGGCAGGCTCTGTGCCAGGCACCAAGGGGGTGGGCGCCAGACAAACCAAGTCCCTGCCCTCGGGTCGGAATGCTAGAGAGAACGTGAGGACAGGCTCCTCTTGTTGGGAGCCACCACACGCGGGAGCAGGAAGGGAGCAGAGAAGAGCTGGAGTCAGGGTGTCAGGGAAGGTCTGGAGGAAGTGGCATCTGGCCGAGGCCTGAAGGAGAGGACAACAGATGTGGAGGGTGGGAGTTCAGCTCCAGCAGAGCAAGGGCAGAAGCCAGGCGCAGTGTGAGTGGCCGGGAAGCCAGCGGGACTGGAGTGAGTAGAAGGGAGAGGAAGGGGGGACAGGGAAGTGACAGGAGCCAGTGTAAGCAGGAGCTTGTAGGCGGAGGTGGGGCTGCCGGGGAGTGTGAGAGGGGGACTAAGGTTGGTGTATTCATTACTATGACAAAATGCCAGAGGCAGGTTTCTTTAGCTCACCATCCTGGAGGTTCAAAGTCACGGTGCCAGGATCGGCTCAGCACTGAGGACTTTATGGAATCATGAGCCTGAAAGGGAGAGGAGTCACTCTGTCAAACAGGAAGCCAGAGAGCGGCACTCTTGTAACACTTGCACGTGCAACAGTTCAGTTGTCCCTGGAGAACTACCTTAATTCCTTCCAAAGACACGCCCCGAATGGCCTAAGGACCTTCCACTAGCCCCGCCCCCTTAAGGGACCCACCACCTCTCGCACTGCCAAGCCATGGACCAAACACCGGGCACAGGATCCCTGGGACCCGGCACATCCCAG